GCAGGAAGTAAGTTGGAGCAGAAATCCAGACAAAGGAGGGCTGGAAAAGTGAGCTGCATGGCTTGGCTTGTTCCCAGAAGGAAAGGGGAAGCCACTGAAGGATTTTAAGCATGGGACAGAACTAATCTCTAAAATTAATTAATGGGAAAAATGATTCATGTGGGCCAGGCTAGGTCCAGGGAGATGAGGTTGAAGGTATTTTTAAAAGTCTAGGCCAGGCATACTGAGTTAAAGAAAGTTAATGCATGATCAGGAAAGTAGAATCAAGAGACCCATCAGGGAGTAGACTGACTGAATTTGGCTGCGTCTGGAAAAAAATTTTAGAAAGGAATTTGGGAGTTTCTCTGATGGAATATGGAATATAAGAGACTTAAATATTTAAGGGAGAAACAAGATGAGTTTAATTATGAACCTGTTGACTGGGACTGGAGGTCATTTATCTGTCCATGTGGTCCTCTCCATGTGGTCCTCTCCAGGGCCTGTAGCTTAATGTAGAGGTTTGGGCTGGATATGCAGAAAAAGACACTGAGTGTCAAGTCCTGCTAGTTTCCTCCCTCACAAGTACCTGGAAGGCCATACCTACCACTTATTAAAGGATTCTGCTCCCATAGTTGTCCTCTTTATATTTTATCATCACCTTTTCCTTCTGTCTGGTTCAGGCTTATTGGTCTAATTCCAGACATTAATAGCTCCCATTTTAAAAACAAATATCCATGGCCTTCCCCAGCTACCTTTAATCCTCTTCTTGAAGACTTCTTGAAAAGAGTTACTTTACACAGAGTATTCACTTCCTCACCTCTCATTCTTTCTTTCCTCTTCCTATTATTTTAAATTACAAATTTTTTCAGATTTATGTGTAAAATTTTATTTGGTATTTTGAATAGCTAATGTATGTGCATATAATTCAAAGGTATTAAAGTGTGTACAAGGGTCAATTTTCTTCTCATTGTTGTGCCTTACACTCAGTTTTTCATTTTATGGGGGGTATACCTTCATTCATAGGTTCATTTTTCTTTGTCCTTTAATAAATGATAGCATACCATGCACATTGTATTGCAACTTTTTCTCTTTACTTAATATATTTTGAAGATCTTCATATTAGTACATAGAAAGCTGCCTTAATCATTTTAACAATTGGACAGTATTCCATTGAATAAATGTGCATAGTTTATTTTGTTTGTTTTCTATTTTCAGGTATTTGCTTTCAATTGTTTACTTATAAAAAAAACTGCAGGGAGTAACTTTGAACATATAGTATTTTTCCTAAGTGCAAATATATCTGTAAGATAAATTCCTAGGATTAGAATCATTAGGTCATCAATCTTAGTTCAATCCTTATTGATCAATCTTTTGTCATTACCATTTCAACTGAAATAGCTTTTATCAAGGTCAAATAAAATTCCAGGGTAATTCTTTGTCCTCATATAGTTTAACTGTTCCTTAGCATTGACCATAACTGGCCATCACTTCCTCCTTCTTAAAATAGTTTCTTCTTTTGGCTCCCATGACATCACATACTTCTGGATTTTCTCCTATTTCACTGACTGCTCCATCTCAGTTCCCTTTTCTGGCTCCTAATTTTTTCAATGTCCATACTTTGGATGGTTCTAAAGCTGTTTTCTCAGCCTGATCCTTCAAATACAGTCTCTCCTTAAATCATTTCATGAAGTCTCATTGTTCTAAATACTATTTATACACTGATGACTCACACATTTTTATCTCCAACTCTTACTTTTCCTCCTGAGTTCTGTCCCAACTACCCTTGTGATGCCTGCACCTGAATGTCTGATAGGCTGCTCAAAACTTTGTTTCTCCTGTATTTCCATATTAGTCAGTGGCAACTGCATTCTTCCAGTTGCTCTAGTCATAAACCTAGACTTAAGCCTCTCCTCCTATCAGCAAGCACATCTAGTCCGTTATTCAGCCTTGTCACCTCTACCTCTAACTACACCCAGAATTTGGCCACTTCTCACCATCTCTACCGCTATTGCTCTGGTTAAAGGCAAGGCTGGGAAAGTAATAGCCTCCTTGCTTACCCTCCTGTCTTTCAATGGATCATCTTGACACACTAGCAAGAGGATCCTGGTAAAATCGTTTCCCACTAGAAATGCTTTAATAGTTTCCCACTGTGCATGGAAGAAAATAGAAACTCTGTACCATGGGGTTAAAAGGCCCCCTATAACTTCTGAGAGAAGGAAACACCACCAAGGAATTGGAAATATTATCAGATCAATACAGTTTCCCCTCCGTAACACTCATGTGAACTCATTGATATAATTTTTACCTATTTATATTCATTCCTAGTTTCTGAATCACATTTCCTTGTACCTTTTTCAAGTGGAAGTATACATTTTGTTACAGATGCCAATTCTGAGTTTCCCTGCTGCACTTCACGATTTTTTCACTTTTAGAGCAGAAATTAGTAGTACCTGTCTAATTTAAGGCTGAGGGAATGGAAAAACAAGATTTCCCTCTGTGAGGCACAGGAGCTGTGGTTCTCTATAGGATCACTACTGATGCATCCCAGGGGACTCAGGACTCCATCACCTGAGGATTATCAGTGCTTTCAGTTAATGGCAATCAGGAAGCAACACACCCATCTTGTTTACTCTGCCCCACACAATATCCCTCCTGCCTTTTAAATTAATATTTAAAAAAAGAGACTACTGCCAGGGCCTTTCAGATATTACCATGTCCATGTTGTTTTACATTAGCCATTTATTACTAATAATCTAGACAGTGCCCTTTAAAAATCTTTGAAATGATTTCAGTAATAGTTCATCAATTTCAAAAGGGACCACATTTACTAGATAAGAAAATTCAAACTATCATTCCTCTTATTTTCAATTAAGAATTAAGTTATAATTTTGCAAGCCTTTGAAAAGAGATATGCACCCAATTCTAAATCAAAAATAAGAAATTTCCTAAGAAAGATGTGCTGTATTATTTTTGTTAGCAGCTTTATGGTAGTCTTTATAAGAACAATATGCCTAAGAGCTTTATAAAACTATTAGTCAAGCGATATCTTTATTTAAAACAATGAAAAGGCTGCTTTTAAAAATGTGCTATTGTTCAATCCCAGCCAACTATAAAATTTGCCCAATGAGGCAAAGTAGCAAAAATTGCATTATTCTTTAAATCTTCATTCCAACAGAGATCTTTATATACTGTTAAAAAAGAACAACCCCTTGATGTAACTTGAGCTCATTAGCTCTGTAATAAGCTTTAGTGGATGAGGCTTGACAAATGTTTTATACTGACCAAAGGAGGTGTGGGAAGACATACTAAAATTTCTTGGACAAAATAAGTAAGATACATCGTAAGTTTGTTCATATTTGGGATCTCCTAAGCTAATACCAGGCAAGTATAACATTTGTTCTAAAGACATCTGAGTTTCAAAAACAATCTACCCAAAAGCCTAGAAAACCACTTCTCATTGGAAACAGTGAATAATTACTTTATTATTGAGACCCACCTTGACAGAGATTTGAAGTAGGTGGAAGGGAGCAAGAGCTACACTTCCCTTGGAGGAGACACAAAGGGGTGATGGTTGGACCTGCTTATGAGTTTGGAGAGGAAAAAGGGGAAGGAGGAACAGCAATTGCAAGCCCAGGGGCATGGCAGAGTTTCCCTCAGGCTCGCTTTGGCTGTTGACACTCCTGCTCCATCAGTGAAAGTCAGCCAGCTCAGAGTCCAGTCCCCCTCCCTGACAAACACATAAACAAAAGGGGCAACTCATACTTAATGATCAGGACATTTTTGGTTACCAAATCCGATGTCAAAGATTAGTATGTAATTGGAACCGGAATGAAGCCCATTTTGAATTTGCTTCATTTTTCTGGCTGATAACATAGATATTACAGAAAAATTGAGTGGAGGGGCAGGCGAGCTCTCTGCTTATGTTATCTTAAATGTTCACTCCAATCAGTTTAACTTTATTACAATCATCAAGGTGCCTGGGAAGTACTCTACATACAGAAAATGAAATCTTCTCAAGGCTTCTTCTAAAATGTGTGGCAGCGCGCCTTCTGTCCCCATCCAGTGCACTATCAAGGGCCACCTCTAAGTTTACATGGAAATAACTCCAAACCCAAATCCAGCATTTGGGGCACCGAAAATGCTAATAATTATAATAATAATAAT